CAGCAGTGGTGATTCTCAGGATTTAATGTAACTGGGAGCTGGGCGATGGCATTGCAAGTCTTTGTTCACAGCACTGAGGAGGGTAAGGCAAGCAGATCTGAGTTCCAGCCCAGCCTAGTCTACAGAGTGAGCTCCAAGAAAATCCAGCATACACAAAGAAATCCTGTCTCAAAGATAAACAAAAAACAAAATCAACTGGAAAACATGCACTAAGAACAGCAAAAAAACAGGAACTGGCCCACAAGCATTCTCACTGACAGGAGAGGCTGCTCACCAAGGCACCTCCCTTGCCCATTCAGTCAGGAAGGCTGAAAATGTAGTTTTATCTCCAGAGGAAATCCAAGTTTGCGTGAGCCAAGGAGTGCAAGAAGGACACAATGAATGGTGGCTTTGGGCAGAGTTTAGAAACAGATTGTTCATAAGAAAGGAGGAACTACGGTTAGATATTTCCTCCTCCTCACATTTCAACAGTCTCATCGTACAGCCCAGGCCAATCTGCAACTTAGAATTTTCCTGCCTCAGTCTTCCAAGTGCTGGGATTACAGGTATGTCACTCAACAAATACTTTTCCTATGTTTCTTTTTTAAAGATTTATTTATACATATGGGTGTTCTATCTGTATGTATGACAGAAGAGGACATCAGATCCCATTGTAGATGGTCATGAGCCACCATGTGGGTGCTGGGAATTGAACTCAGGACCATTGGAAGAGCAGCCAGTACTCTTAGCCGCTGAGCCATCTCTCCAGCCCCCTTCCTATGTTTTTTAACACCCCCCTTTGTTTTTTTGTTTGTTTGTTTGTTTTTGTTTTTGTTTGTTTGTTTTAAGACAGGGTTTCTCTGTGTCTGGCTGTCCTGGACCTTGCTCTGTAGACTAAGCTGGCCTCAAACTCAAAGAGATCTGCCTGCCTCTGCCTCCCAAGTGCTGGAATATAAGCTGTGCCACTACCACCTAACTCCTTTTCTTTTTAAAAATATAATTCAACTTATATTTAGTCCCTTTCAATTATCAGAAGTTGTGAATTGATAAACTTCTAGTGATTTTTGTTTTGTCTTATTTGTTTTGAGACAGGGTCTCTCCAAGTGGCCCTAGCAATCCCGGAACTCAGTGTGCAGAGCTTTGCACTCACAGTGTGCAGACCTTGCACTCACAGAGCTCCATCTGCCCCTGTCGCCCAAGCATAGGCTCAAAGGCGTACACCATCATAAATTTTAGTGATCTTTAATTTTATCTCAACTATTCCTAAGGGAAAGGAAAACCTGATCTTCATAGGACAAGAAGTTTGGAATGACAAATGATAGGGGAAAACAGAAGAAGACAAAAACTATCTATGTGTTGTTAGCCATGGGGCACCAATCTGCAATGTCAGCCCTCGGAGGCTGGAGCAGCAGTGTTATAAGTTGGGGCTAGTGAGTCTGAGGCTAGCCCGAACTGGTCAGAGACTCTCAAAGAAACCAAGTTTGGGTTTTTCTGAAGGGTGGAGGTGGGAAGGGAAGAGAGTATGGAGCTGTGTATGTGGTACATGGGGGAAATCCCAGCATTTTGGAGGTGAAGGTGGGAGAATCTCAACTTCCAAGACAACCTGGTCTCTAAATAAATAAATATCATACACACAAACATGTCTACACATGTTACATACATGTTACTAGATGAGCTGGGCTCAACACATATGAGATGAAAAACATTGCAACTGCCAAAGTAATACAAAATATCAAACTCTGGCTGTTTTTCAATGGTTTATTTTGAGGAACCAACTGGATTGGTTAACCTTGGAGAATACCCAGAGAAGCATGAGAAGACTAATATACCCTCGTCTGCCATTCCATTCCCACTGTCTATACAGCTCATCAACCTGTGACATGGATATGGGCAAAATGGCCTCCTGTCCTCCACACCTTTGCCGTGGCACACGGACACTTCCCCACCTCCATACACATTCTTCACACACAATAAAAAACTGTTTTGAGTATTACCTAATCAGTCTCCTTTTTCTAAGAGATGGAACTAAATATGCTAAAAAAGAGGTTTAAGCAAGCTACATGTATAGAGTACAAATAGCATAAATGAGATCTGTTATTTTATAAACTGAAGATAATTAAAACCTTTTGACTTTTAGTTTCATTTTCTACACAGAAATCAGCAAATTGTATCCTCTCCCTCTTGCAGTGGACAATCCCCATCATCGCATCGTGTCAAATTAGGTCGTTTCTCAGATACTCAGCAACTGCTGCAGGCAGACAGTGCTGCCACACTATTCCTTCCCAGTCAACTCCCACCATCTAGTGAGGCCTCCTCGTAGTTACTAATGAGGCTCAGGGAAGCATGTTACCAAGTCTCCCTCACACAGACACAATGCAGTGTAATCTCAGTGTAAGCTGTCCTTCTTTCAGAGATTAGGAGACGGGAGGTGCACACTGTGGGATCTGCACTGTCCTCGCGGCTCTACAAACAGCAAGCATTACGGCGCCAGTCGGGCTTGCATCACCACGTAGTTGTAGTGATTCCCACGTGCTTAGGCTGTGTCAGGTCCAAGGAAATGTGCGATATTTTAGGTGTGTATTTTAACTGTGTATTATTTTAGAGGATCTAAAATCTGCCTTAAGAAATTCTAATGGCATTTCAGAATACTTCCTCAGGAAGGGGACAACACGCATAGCCCTACATTTCCTCAGCACATGCCCCATGCGGACCAGGAACTGGCCTGCACATCTGAGAGCATGCGCACCACTCACTTGACAGAGGAGGGAACTCCCTTCTGAGAGTCAACAGCTTGCCCAGGCCTCCTGACAACAAACAATGCTGTGGAGGTTCTTTTGCAAAGTTTTTGGTCTCTAGTTGCTGGAGAGGCCAGGTGATACCGGCCAGGAACGTCTTCCAGGGCTTTTGTTTTTGGTGACAAGGTGTGGAGATCACACTGTTCTCTGCTCTAAGTTATGCCATACTGTGAAACAAGTTTCCAGGCTAGACCTTGCTCTGGGCAATTCCCATTTTACAAGCAGCACTGGGCTCCATTTTGAGTGTGAACCCAAAAGCAGGGCTATTCTGTACCTTTCTGTACACACAGATAGGACTGTCCAATTCATCCATGAGGCACAGACTGATAACCTACTCCCCACAAACAAAAAAGGTGCTGCCTAGAAACTGATAGAGATTGGGAACATATGAGCATACAGATATATTCAAGTTGGATCAGAGAAACCAGGCCAAGAGCTTATGGAACATATCAGAACAAAGAGCAAAACTCCCTCACCTAGATTCCATTAAGACGAGGACAACAACCAACAGTGTGATGGCAACGGCCCCACTGGCCCGTCGTTTGACTACCCCAACCAGCTGTGCATCAAGGGACCTATAGGCTGAGAGCTCCTGTTGTCCCTGGGGCTTCATTTCTGCTCTATCCCCAATGGTGGTGTAGCACACTATACCTGCAGGCCCTTCGTCGTCTGTCTTTTGGCTCCTATCCTATACCTCACTCCTAGGACCTCTATGGCCTATGGCTCACCTTCGCAGTCCTGCTTAATGCACAGACCTTGTGGCTTGGCTCTGTGTGCCTCTAGCAGTTCTCCAACAAGTCCCTTCTACTGTCTCTAGCTATGGAAAGGACTGCTTCTGTCTGCGTCAGCTCTCTACCTCTGCCCCCAGTGAGGATTATTAACTCCTGGACTCCGCTGTAGCCCTTTTAATCCTTTTCTAACCTACAAATATACATGCTTACAGAAACATGTGTTGTGTGCCATGTGATATAAACATTCAGGCATAGTGCTCTCAGAGCACAGTCTCAAGCAGCCTAAGATGGCCTCAGGCTCTCTACATAGTGAGCGTAATCTTTTGCCTCTAGCTCCCAAGTGCCAGGATTACAGGTGTGTCACCACCCCTGACTTGCCAAAGCATTGAGCAACACAGCAACATTCTGGGGTACTATTTTTTTTGTGTGACAAAACCACTTTGACCAGCCAAACTGCTGAAATCTTTAATATACAAATTTTAGCAAAATCCCTAAATGTCCACCTTGAAACACCTATGGGCTTTTGCCAAAATGAGAAAATTATGAGTTATGTATAAATTATCTAATTTATTCATTCACATTTTCTGCCCTACTCTCTCTTTCCTATACCTCCTTCTTTCATTATTTCACCTAGTGGTATAGGGCAGGAGCTGGCAAACATTTCCCATTACTAATATAAAATTTTGTTTACAAATACAGGCAGTAGATGAGATTTAGTTCACGGGGTTGCTTTCTGCCAATGCTGGTTCAGAGCAGCAAGTTTTCAAGCTTTTGCTTATTCAGAATCACCTACTTGACAGCTAATGCAAACAAATTTCTGGAATCCATCCTTAAAGTTTCTCATTTAGTAGGTCTGTAGGAGACCCTGAGATTTTGTGGTTTTAGTAAATTCCCAAGTAATGCTGATACCACTGGTGCAGAAATCCTACTCCGAGAACCACTTGTACAGAACAGTGGTCTATACGCTACTCAGTGGAAGAAACAATGAAAACCTAATGAAGCAGAAACTGCATGTTGTAAACCTGACTGAGACTTTTACAGAGTATTTAATATGAAGACTTACTATTAAGAGCCATAATGTTATCTGTTCCTGGATGGTGAAAATTTATTCCCATGCGTCCTGGAAAACAAAGCAATTTAATCATAAGCACCAAGAAAACATTGTTCGATAAAATTATTTCAAATATACTGTAAAATATAAACATTACAAAATACCACAGATTAATCTATAGCAATGCTATCAAGGCCAAAACATTTACAACTTTTAAATCAATTCATAAAACACAGACATGAAAAGTCTTAAAACAAAGCCAAAGTTTCAACACAAAATACAACCAAACAAAAAGAAGCTTCCATTATAGTCTGAAATTTGTACATCTCCCATATTAAAATTTAATCAAGTCAATTTCTTGGATGAGCATTTTATTTAAACAATATTTATTCATGTCCTTCAAACTAAACTAAGGCATCAAAAAGAGAAATTTATATAAGTATACAAACATGAAGTTTAGAGGAATTAAAAAGATACAGTTTTATTATGGCTCAAAAAGTGCAACATAATTACCAGAGTAGCAAAATGAAGAAAGATGGCAAAGTTTATGTAAATGAGCAGGGAGTGAGGCTGACATAAACAGCCAAAGTCCTTACCCTGCCCCAGCACTGCTTTCTTCCAGCGGTTTGTCTGTCTGTGTGGTGCATTCTTGTTTCCTTTTATGACTGTCTCTAGCTGATTTAGAGCTCACCACATACACCAGACTGGCCTCTAACTCACAGAGATCTGCCTGTCTTTGCCTCCTGCAAGCCCTGGGATTAAAAGCAGGCATCCCCATGCCTGGATCCACCACTAACTACTCTTGTAAAAAATGTGACTTTCCAGATTTTCACCTTTATAAATAATATAGGAACTGAAACTTCTGCCCACATTGGTTGGCTTTCGTATATCTCTGAGGTTAAGAATCATTTTTACATTTTTAATGGGCTAGAAAACCAAACAAAATCAAAGAGGCAACAGAGGCCTGTGTCCTGTACACCCTATAATATTTATTCTGTATTCCTTCCAAAAGATTGAACCCCTGATCTTTAAGATAATAATAAATGGAATCAGATGTTTCAACTTATGGCCCACTGGGATAAAGAGCGAAAGATGTAGGGGGTGAATAGAGTGAAGCTCAGAAGCACAGAGGGAAAGATTCAGGAGTAAAGAATAAAAGATGCAGGCATTTGCTGCTTTTTCATTATTAGACAAAAAAAATGGATTTATCAAAAATAAAAATTAAACCCAGAGAGTCTTGTATAGAAGGCAAATGTACTATACAAGATTTTGTGACCCACTCCTTCAACAAAATAGTTATCAAAATTAGGTGTGGTGGCTCACCCCTGTAATCCAACAACTTGGGTGATAAGAGGAATGTTGGGAATTCAAGACCAGTGAATAGTTACAGAGTGTTCCAAACAAACCAAACACCCAAAAAGATATTGAAACAATAGCTAGGGTGTAATATCTATGTATTTGACTTGGTAAATATATGTATAGTTACTTTGTTTTAGTATAATTAGTTTTCATGTATAGTTACTTTGAAAATCATCATGAAATTCATAGAAAAATGTTAATTTTAGATAAGTGTTTTACCACTGAGATATCCCTACAGCCCTAAAAAAAAATGTTCATTTTCTTTTATAACCACTGCTTAAAGATTTTCAATCATATTTGAGGAGGAATAGTATAGAGAAAGCTGGAGATAAACGTCTCTGATTTTTTTTTTTTTAAACAACCGATACAGTTCTTTATGTAATGATAAAGGGGCCAGCTTTTATTTGGTAATAAACTCTATTCCCGGGAACTGGAGGTAAACATCATTGTCAAGCTCAATACAAGGGGAAAACAAAATGATAAAAATCAAAGTCCTCATTCAACTTTACCACTTTTACTGATGTATTGGTGTGTGTGTGTCTGTGTGTGTGTGTGTGTGTGTGTAAAAGAATGGGAAAAAATAAAAGAAATTGTCAAATAATAAAGGAAACATCCTAAAAGACACGATTTCTATAGAAAAACTATTTTCATATTAATTACAAACTAGTTAATAGGAGTTTAAAAGTATGTTGGAAAACACATTTAATATAACAATATTTGTAGCTGTCCCGCATGCCTTACTCTGATTTTTTAATTCCTAGGTCATTTTATAGTCTCTGAAAGTCATAGTCTTATTCATATGCAATGCTGTCTCCTACCACCACCTTGACCAAAACCTACTTCATAAAAATTTGTTATAAGAATAGCCTTGACTCAATAAAAGAATTTACATTCTGGCTTTGGCTAACTGAGTTGATGTTCTTTACACCAAAAGCTAACATCCATGAACACTAAGAGTGATATCCTCTAATTCAGTTTCACCATATCTACAGTATTAACTACAACAGCAAGTTGCTGAACAGTCTACATTAAATCTCATCAAGACTTCAAACTCAGGCTGGAGAGATGGCTCAGAGCACTGGTTACCCTCCAGAAGTCCAAAGTTCAATTCCCAGCAACCACATGGTGGCTCCCAACCATGTATAGTGAGACCTGGTACCCTTTACTGGCATGCAGACAGAACACTGTATAAAAAAAACTTCAAACTCATTGTCTATTAGAACTTAAGGAAAACAGAGCATTGTTTTAGTTGGATGATGTCACACACTCATAACCCCAGCACACAGGAGGTGAAAGAATCACAAGTTCAAGGTCTACCTGTGCTGCACAGTGAAACCATCTCAGAAAATAAGCAAACAAAAACAAACAACGTGGAAAAGTCAGAGCTAGTGGTACACAGGTAAAATCTGTGAATTCTAGGACAGACAGGTCTCCACAGTGAGACCTTGTTTAAACAAAACATGAAAAGCAGGACCTTTTGACCAGTGAATATTCAGAGGACAGAATGGTCCTTAAAAGGCACTGATGGTCCCTTTATATGACTACAATAAAAATGAGTTGCCAAGTAAAACTCAAATTTAGTCAATCTTTGTTCAACTTCAATTCCTATAAAATAGAGAATTTCACACTTTACATACACAGCATCAAATAACTTTTCTATGTTCTCCGGAATGTTGCCCTCAAAACTTGAGCACTGCTACACACCCCTTTGGGCTCTTTCTTGAGGAGCTAGAACATTTCACCTTGACAAGACAATTATCCTCACTGGTTACTTGTAACCCAGGTCTTTAAGAAGCAGAACAGAGGCTCAGACATTGTCTTGCAGGTGGAAGGCATCACTTTTTGCAAAAAAAGCCCAGCAGTTTTTACCTTACTTGGTCTTCTCCCTAATTTTTTCAATGGATTTTGGATAAAAAGTAACATGAATCTTGTAAAGAGCTCCGTGTCAAAGCTAGGTCCCTAGAATCAGTAATCTAAATATAATCTAGGTTTCCCGCTAAGTATAATGGTTCTTTGGTAAACTTACGTATGACTTTTTAGTTTCTTTATCTCTTCAAAAAAATAGTGTTTAGAATATAAAGTGCAATTTTCATTGAATAAAAATTAGAACATATGGAAAAATAAGATCAGTAAAGACAAACAAATCAGCTTTTATTCATATCTTTTAGTATGGAGAACATGCATGAAGCTTTCTTCCCTAAGATTATAATCATTTAATAGTCTTTTCTTAGTGCAATATGCATCTAAATTTTAGCACTTATTAAAGGATTTTGGAAGAGAGAGAAAATGTGTAATGGGCAGAAAAAACAAAACAAAACCCTGATGCTAAATTCAGACAAGGCTGTTTCCTTTTGCTTCCTTTTGTCCAACAAATGCTGCTATTGAATCAGCTGTGAAAACAGAACTGAGTGTGTGACATCTGGTGATTTTGTTGCTGCAGCCTGGGGCTGCCATGTGACACTCTGTCACCTGTCCATGAGTCTGCTATTTTTAAAGTGTTCTTGTCAGCTAGCTATCTTTCCAGTACAGTATAAAGTATAAGGTTTCAAAAGCGGGAGGCCATCCTTAGTCTTACAAAGTTAAATGACGCTGTAGAAATTTGAGACTGTCCACTTTGCCCACTTCACAGGACAGACAGGAGTTAGGAGAGAGTGGGGACAGAGGGTAGAGACTGGAGTTACATTTGTTTATTTAAGACGGGAAAAAAAAAACACATCTTCATAAACTCCACTCATTATTTTAAAATTACCTTATTTCAGAGCCAACTAAACCCATACTTTTATGTCTCCAAAATAAAAGCTGGAAATTTTATTGATTCATAATTATTACTATGAAAGCTATTTCTTCAGCAAACATCTTTCTCTAATTACCCACTTTACTCTTAAAAAAAATGTTAAGTACTTAAACAGTTTCAGGGAGAACATTAATGCTTCAAGAAAATATTCTACTAAATTTTACCTATTTTCTCTATAAAGTTAAGAGATACACTCCCAGAGAAAAAGTACCCTTAAGGTATAAAAATATAATATGTAAAAAAAAACACTAAAAACAAACAAACAAACAAACAAACAAATCAGTAAAGTTGGGTGTGATCTCAAAAGCTGAGGCAGCAGAATCTGAGTTTAAGGCAGGTTGGCTCCACAGCAAGACCTTTCCTCAAAACAACCTCTGCACAGATATAGCCCATGGCAGCTCAGTCTCTAAGTGGGTTCCCTAGGAGGGGGAACAGGGACTGTCCCTGACATGAACTCAGTGGCTGGCTCTTTGATCACCTCCCCTTGAGGGGAGAGCAGCCTTGCCAGGCCACAGAGGAACACAGTGAGGCCAGTCCTGATGAGACCTGATAGGCTAGGGTCAGATGAAGGGGAGGAGGACCTCCCCTATCAGTGGACTGAGGGGTGGGGGGGCATGGGAGGAAAAGAGAGAGGGAGGGTAGGATTGAGAGGGGACAAGGGAGGGGGCTACAGCTGGGATACAAAGTGAATAAATTATAATAAATTAAAAATAAATTAAAGGGGCTGCAGAGATAGCTCAGTGGTTAAGAGCACTATATGCTCTTTCAAAGGACCTGGGTACAATTCCCAGCACCTACACGGCAGCTCACAACTGTCTGTACCACCAATTCCAAGGGATCTGACACCTTCACACATAAAATAAGATTAAATAATTACTAAAAATAAATTTAAAAAACTAACATAAAAAAACAACAG